TTATCACTAAAGTTATTATCGTTGTCGGCTGTTGTTATTGCTTTTCTACCACCATTGCTATCTATTTCTTCATTCTTATCTAAAACAATAATCATTGAAAATAGTTTTTGATCATTTAATGGCATTTTTCGGTTGATGTGTCTGTTCTACTGAGATGGTTAGAACAGCAATAAATTTTTCACTCCAAAGATTAATTTGATTTGTTTTATAAAATTTTTCTTCAATATTAATCATTAATTCTTGTAATTTTGAACGTTGTTTTATTAACCATATTGATAAATAACCATAATTTTCACATTTAATTTCTTCTGGTATAAATTGTAGTAAAATATAGTTCATTTCCATTATTTTACATATTTCTGTTAATGATTGTGTTGATTGAAGTAAAAATATTTCTTCTAATATTTTTAATTCATTTAAAAAATTTGTTATTGTTTGGATGAGTGATCGTATTGTATGATAATCTTCATTTATATATGCAACTTGAAAACAATTGCTTAATTCTTCTTGAATAGGTAATGATATGGTTGTACGTAATGCAAATGGTACACCAATAAATAACTATTCAAAACCAATAATATGTTTTTCATATAAATAACGAATAAAATCAATATAACATAATTGAAAATCTTTTATTTCACATGTCTGAATTAATTTTATGTCATTTTCATGCGAATATTTTGTTAAAAATTTATACAAATACATTTCACTAAAGAAATTTTGATTATTATCATTATTATTCAATTGATCTTTGAGTATAGTAATTATACGTTTTAATAAATTAAGACTATCATAAAATTTATCTAATAACATGTCATTTAAATGATTCCAATCAGTTTCTATTTGTAAATTCGTTAATTCTTTGGAAAATAGTCTACCAATATTATATGAATCATCTATAATGCTATTTGTATTTAATTGTCGTTTGATATAACATTCATATTTTCTATGAATATGTTCATAATTAATTCGAGATGATAATAAATAACGTACAACGAGATATGATTAAACATATAAAAAATCAAAATTCATTTCTCCATTTTCACTTGAATTTTCATCTAATAAACTTGCTTTTGATATTTGTTCAATCCATAAATAATCATTATTATCTAATGATATAATATTATTGCGATTTAAAGATATCTGAATAATAGATATTTCATTTTTATTTAAATAATTTACTAAATTTTTGATAATAATTTTATCCTTAATATTATCATTATATTCATTTTCAATTGTTATTAATAAATTATTTTGATAATTAATTATTACACTCAGTATACGCATTATAATATCTCCTTCATCATAATTACCAGTTGTAGCTAAATAACTAATTTGTGATTTTTTTGTGACTTTTTCAAAATATTGTGTTTGATCACATACACCAGGTCTAATAAAACCATTTGTCATATCATGATATTTATTAATAGCATCAATACCATTTACTATGATTTCCCAATGATGGGATGATGTTTGTTTGTAGTGTTGTTTAGCAATATTATAAAGTTCAATTAATGTTACATCGAAAGCAGAAATGTCAGTGAGCAAGATATCCTTGGCAAACGCATCGTTATTTTCTATGTCATTCGTTATAGCAACGAACTATGCTCATCCTTTATCTCGAGCCTGTTGGTTTTGGAATTAATACAGTAGATTTCTCGAACGAAAAGATTTTTGATCTATTTTGATGTCTTATTCTTAAAATAAAACAGAAAACAAAAGGCTGTATATAATTAGAAGGTTGATATAAGCTTTATTCTGTCAGAATACAAGCGGAAAAATTCCATTATAGTATTCTAAACTAAAACTATCGAAAAACACAAAATCAATTTTGTACGAATAGAGATTCGAACACATGAACTTAGCTTTGTAGTAAACTACTACAAAACTAAATTCACTGTTCTGTATCTATATTCTGTATCTATTCTGTATCTATATACTATACCTGTTCTGTATCTATTCTTCTTATTACATCTTTTCACTGTTGTCCCAATAATGTCGGAAACCAAACCCAGCATCATGATGGTAATTATACTAATTCAAGAAACCAACCATGTTCAACATCTAAGTTAATGCCCACTTATCAAGGTCAATCATCAACAGTGGACTCTAATTCTCTATCTAGTGCTTCAACAGGATCGGAAACGTCTAGACCACAACCATCTGATTATCCTCCACAATCGCCAGCAACTGCTCCCCAAGACCTATTTATTTCATCAACATCTGCCGTAAGTAATGGCACAGAAGGAACCGATTCCATTATGCAAAAATCAGATTCACTTGATATTAACCATAAACATTCTCCTTCAACCCGAACGGAAACATCTTACCCATCACTAATGCATGATCCATCTTATTCTCCACTTCCATTCGTGGACACGCCGTGGGTTTTATACTATTCATAATATAAATGAAGGTTTTTCCACTATTACAAATGATCTCTATACATGATATATGTCATCCTTTTTCTCTTGCTCATATGTACATGATTATTAAAGTACAAAAAAACAATATAACTCTTGTATAATTGATGATAATTTATTTTCAGATAATAAAAGAATTCCGTTACATCATCATTACTAAGTTCACACGGGTGACAAATCTGGCATATCATAGACAAAGTACAGTTGTTAAGTAATTAATTAATTATATATAAATTAATCTCTACTTTCAACTTTTTTGTATTACAGAACAAAAATAATTACTTACCGATTGATATTAATGTTGTCGCGTCTGCACAAAAGGCCGGCAGTAGGCATACTGCTGCGACAGCCATCAATGCAAAACGCATCTCGTTTTAATTGGCGCCTTTTAA